GTGAAGGCTTTTGGACCACATCAACCACATCAGAAAAGTCTGAGCAGATTTTATTTTAAATCAAATTCTCTTCTTGTTAAAAGACATTCTGATGCCAGTATATATAACAGGTTTGTTAACACACTTGTTTAAACAAGCTAAATCATAGATCAAGGTTTTATTATAATCTCCCAGTACGTTATAATCAAAGTACAGTAGCATCATATTTTTGTGACAAATGCATGTACATAGCCAGCCCTGCAGTCTGCACAGAGGAGAAGGAAACAAGTAGCCTAACCATAGTTTTCCAGGTCTTTCATCTCCTTCCCTTTTTCCTCTTCCCTAGTTTTTTGGGGGCAAGACTATGTTTGATTTCTCCTGAAAAAAAGAAGAAAGAGACATTGCACCAGAACAACTAGAACTTTGTTTCTCTCGATCAGGGAAGCACAGCTCAACACAAATGAAGACCAGCAGCTGCCCTAACGAAGCATGCCCATTACCTCCCTGAAGGAAGTGAGGCACTGTCTTACTGTTATTGCACATTCTTGCACTACAATAAAATGCTCTGAGGAAGAACACCCCAGTGAACACCCTTGGGGTTTGCAAGGAAATTCACTGGGGTGCAGGAAGAATATATTAGAACTTCTGTTTATGTTTTATCTTAAAAAGGAATAAAGAAATGAAACCACTAATACTTAATGTCTTGACACTGGCACCCTCATTTGGTCTGTATGTGTCAGATGGTCACATATCAATGCAGACAGTACACAAGGTATCCTTGGGCAAGAGTGGGTGTTCCACATCACAAGAGGGGTGTTGACAGTGGCACCCTCATTCATTGTTGGCTTTCAGTGTATTGAGACATATTGCAGTTTCCATGTGGCCAGTTAAGTGGATCTATGGATTATATTATCTAGATGTAACTAAACTAACCCTCACAAAATAACCAATTGGCTTAAAAACATTCCTGGAAAAAAACCCTGCAGATTGAAGGTAATACTAGTAATACAAGCACAAACAAGAAAGTCATAGAGCTGACATTTTGGATCCTAGTACGAGCCCTTCGTCAACCACATTGCATGGTAATAGTAATTACAATCTAATCAGGTTTTACAAAGCTGGCCAAAAAATCAAAATTATCAAGACAACTATTTGAAATATGAATTTACATCCACTATCATTAACAATGAACCTCAGCTTAAGTGTATATTGTGCCTTTAGGTGTATGAAATACATGAAGGACAACTTCTTTGTGAGTCAGTAAAGATGCGTCAATAAAGATATACTCTAGATATACTAGAAAAGATACATTCAAGATTAAACATTTTCTTCATTAAAAATGATGCTTCATGGAAAAACTGTGCAAAAGTAACCACCAATGGAGCGTCTGCTTTGACTGGAATAAAAAAGGATCCTTGGGTAAGGTTACAGCAATAGTGAAATTCATTCACTGGATTACTCATGGCCAAGCTTGTGCAGCAAAAAAGTTGGAGGCAGAATCACGCAAAGTGCTACAAGATGTCGTCAATGTAGTTTATTTTGTAAAAACAAGACCTTTCATTACTAGAATCTTTACTATACTTTGGAAAGAGATGGGGAGTGACCACGAAAGTCTTTTGTACCATAAAGGTTCACTGGTTTGTGGCAAAGTGCTTAAGAGTTGTCAAACTTAAAGATGAGTACGCATTTTTCTTTCACAGAAAGACAAGCAAGCATTCCAAATCTGCTGACCTTTTCTGTCATGAAAAGGGCCTGTCAGTACTAAGCTGCCTAGGCCAATATTTTAGAAAAACAAAAACATTTAATCTGTCTCTTCAAGGTAAAGGTGACATTTTAACAAGTGAGAAAATAACTGCTTTTTTAAAGAAACTCATTGTATAGAGCAAGTATTTTGAAAACAAAAGTTTGGAAATGTCTCTATCATCATAGGATCTTGTTGCAAAAAGCAGTGCAGAGGTGTCACCTATGAAAACTCTCATACCTGTGCACTTGAACTTGGAAACAATTTTCTAACCTGTCTAAAGATCTTCCAAATGAGGAGTTTCAGTAGGTTTTCAATACACTTGTTAAAAACCACAAAAATTCAAGACCTTCCAGTTAGCTTGCAAGAACAAGTGATTGACATCAGGGAAGTTGTAAACTTACTAGCTGAATTTTAACAAACACCTTTGCATAATTGGTGGATGGGATTGAAAAAATGAGCATCGTGGTTTAGTAAGCACAGCACTTCTTCCATTTAGATCTATGTGTCTTTGTATGGTATCTTTTTCAGCAATGACAGCCATTAAACCAAGTATCAAAATAAACTGAACTTAGAACCAGACTTTTGAATCTCTCTACTGTAGTTTTAAACCAAGATTTTAAAAAATAATGAAGCATATACTACAGCATCATTTTTATTAGTTTTCTAGTGAGAGCAAAAAGTTATTTTGTACCACTAATAAAACTGTTTTATAATTGTTTACTTAATCTGTATTTTTCTTTTATTTTTATAATGTACTTTATTAGTCCAGCAGTACATGTATATAATTTATAAACGTATACAATATGAGTGCATGCTCACAGTAATTTTTTTGCATCTAACTCTGGGTTCCATAGCACAAAACAGACAATGGACCTGTTAAATACAGTCCAGAGGAGGGCCACAAAAATTATCAGAGGATGGAACACCTCTCCTGTGAAGAAAGGCTGAGAGAGTTGGGGTTGTTTAGCCCAGAAAAGAGAAGGCTCTGGGGAAACCCCTTCAATACATAAAGGGGACTTATAATAAAGACAGAGACATTTTACCAAGACCTGTAGTGACAGAACCAGGGGCAAGAGTTTTAAACTGAAAAGGTAAGTTTAGGCTGGACATAAGGAAGAAGTTTGTTTACAATGATGGTGGTGAAACACTGGCACAGGCTGCCCAGAGAGGCAGTAGATGCCCCATCCCTGTCAACATTCAAGGTTGGTAGATGCCCCATCCCTGTCAACATTCAAGGTTGGACAGGGCTCTAAGCAACCTGATCTAGCTGATGATGTCCCTGCTCACTGCAGGGGGGTTAGACTAGATGACCTTGAAAGGTCCCTTCCAACCCCAACCACTCTGTGATTCTAAGATTCTACTCTAAAAATTCAAATTTGACCCACTGTTTCTGCTACTTTTAACACTAACATACTGTATGATGTCCTAAGTTGCATTATCAAGTTTAATACATTCTACACTGGGATCATGCAAAACCTACTTGACAGCAGTGGGGCCTACAGCAAAAATAAAATATCCAACATAAAAGCCTAGGCTTGAATTCCAAGTAATTCAAAGTAAAAGAAACACCCAAGCCTCACGAGAAAAAGCATCTTAATTCTGTAGTACTGTTCAGACCAGCAATGCCTTTTTTTTTTTTTTTTTTTAAATTCACTCCCTCCCACTCTTTCCACTTCTCTACACCAGTGGACACCATGTCAGACATCAAATAGACTTCTGAGCAATGCATGCTTTTCACCATGCTTGATGACTTCAGGTACTGTAATCCACCACTGGCATTAAACCACTTCTTTTCTGAAACAGGGGAGGCACAACAGTGAATTTGGAAGAACACACACTTACACATGAAACCTAAAAGATATAGATTTATTATGCATTAGGAAGCTTATTAACTTAAAAACCAAACTGCATAGTACAAAAGGTTTGTTACCTCTGCTCAATGTGGAACAAGTTTCAAAATATATATTTTAAAAATTTGTTCAGTCAATACACAATCCTTTTAAAAAACTGTATATCTGTCAGTACCCTCATTACATTTATAAATACATGATTTACACAGCACCGCATCTGGAAAAATTAAGACTCCTTACAAATTATCTACATATATTGCATACGTATAAAACATTCATAGGAGTACTTCATTAAAGTTGGGTTTAATGGTCCATTTACACTGCAGAAAAATACATATAAATCTGTGTATTTTTCATAAAATGTCTCTAAAAATTTGCACATTTGTAGCCATAACTCCTTTAAAGCATCTTGTAGAAAAGAAATTTTATATGAATATATCCATGAGATTCAGCAGGTAAGACAGTGATATGAAGGCTATAAATATGGTTAATAACTGAACACTAAGTAGCAGTTAAGGCAGGGGTGAAAAGAATTAATAAGAAAGATTATTTCATATGGCAGATAAAGTGACAAAATGCAATAAATATACCTATTTCTTGACGTAAACTACTCTGGCACCCACTGTTTTTTCTGCCTCAGAGTCAGGACAGTCCATATTTCTGACACGGCTCATTTTATAATCAAAATTCTATTTTTCATCAGCTAAACGTTAATGTGACCAGTGCTCTCAGGTGCCATCTGGATTTGCTTATCTGCTGAGAACTGACTGTTTACTGGTGGGTTTAAGATTTCAGTATGACATTTATTGATGGGTAATGACTGTCACGTGTGACCATATACCCTCAAAAGTCATCTCTGTTTCATCAATGCTTTCTGGCAATTACTGGACTTGTCATTACTAAATAATATTTGAGAATGTGTCTTCAGGAAATTTAAATTGCTTTAATTGATATCTGTTATTTCAGATATCAAACTATATAAATCAGTCCCCCTCACATCGTGAGGGCTACATGTAGCATATATGCAGACAAAAGGCCTAAGAAATGCAAAACAACCTTTAACAGTGGTGGCAGAAACTGTTCTGCCTCACACCTGATTATTTTGCATTTAACTTTGGGAATTGAACATTCAGACTTTAAAAAAAAGTTCCAATATGTCTGTATATTTGGGTTTCTACCCAATACCAGGATTTGATATAGCACTTGCAGTCCAATACTGGGTACAATCACACCTAGCTGTGACACGCCATGCTAAACAAACCCTCCTACAAGTATGGTATCAGCCTCAAGTATCATACAGGATGTGACCTTCCCTTGTACACAGCTGCCTTCCTTTCAGAGGCCAGATACTCTGTACACCCCACCAAGCTTCCAGAGCCACAATTCAGTGGATGAATTTGTTCCATCGTCTCCTCAGAAGCTAGCCTTCATACACTGCTATCTTGCAGCAACGGTTCAATGTCCTCTTCGGTACTTCGGTCTAGATCATTACTCAGAGTACTGCTGATGCTGTTGCTGTGTTTTCTGGTACTACTTGCTTTGCTGTGCTCAGGAATAAATAAGGCGACTAGAAAAGCCAGAAGAACAATGCATGCTCCAACCAGGAAGGGTGGACCAGGAATGATTGCTCTCTGTGGGGAAACAAGCATATCAAAGAATTCATGAAGTTTTAGACATCAATTTCTGCATTAAGAACTATACCATTAAGGCAGGAGACAATGGGAGATGAATATACAGTGATATAAAGTTTATGCAAACAAGTTTATACGTGCACTGCAACATGAATTTACTACATCTACCACCCCTAAGAATGCCTCACCCGATCAGCACACTGATCTAAAAAACAGAAACATGCACAAAACTATCAGTTGGCAATAGGATTGCCTAGCAGATGAGACAGACATTGACTGATGCTGCTTTGTAATCTTTTGTCTTTAGGCAACAAGCTTGTTAAATCAGCAAGACTCCTCTGAAGATTAATAGGATAAGGTTTCAACATCCAGAAGTACAAATGCTCAATAAATCTTTAACTTACCTTCACTTTTTCCACTTGCTTCCATGGCTGACATATTTTAGAATCAAGTTAGCCGAATAAACAAACATCCCTAAACACTAATACATGAGTGAAGAAAGTAATAGGAGGCTATGCAGCACACACCATTCTCACTGCAGAGACAGGTTGCTGGCATGTATGATAACCCAGTATTTGGAATTATTCTCTCTTGCTTCTAAGCAATTTATTTTAAAATTTAAAATACAACTTATCCACATTTCATAACCACAATTAACGAGAAAGGTTGTAAGACTAATTTTAAACCAGGTAAGTCCGATGACAAAACTCTACAAAAGAAAGTGTCAGGAATCCAGTGATTTATTTTTTTATAACTTTAAACAACTTTTCTGTACTTTTTGTCAGCTAAAAAAAAATTCAGCAGATGAAACTTGTCAATCCAGTGTACATTTTTTTTTCCTACCAAATGAAATGCAGGAAGTTATTCTGATATGAAGTGGGAAAGTAGCTGAAATTAAGCATACAGCAACAGGATATTTCCCTTGCTTCAACTTGATACAAGCAGAGGCCTAATTTTTCTGCTGACAGTGTCTAAATTTAAAGTATATAATCATATTAACAAAAATTATATTAACAATATTAATTCAATCTTCAAGTTGTGCTAAGCTACTTAAAGAATGTAATAAACTTCTATAAATTAATATCCTCATTTGTAGTATAACAGCTGATTTATCTGAGCAGCTTTTGAATATTCCACTATTGCAGTTTCACTGAAGGGAGTAAGAAGTTTTGAAAAGCTACCCTTGCTCATTGCATTGCCAAGTGTTGTTATTACTCTCCAAACACAGCCCATCAGTGAACACAGAAGAATTTATATCTGAAAGGCACAATACTAAATTATGACAATAATCAGCTTTCACTAGTTAAGTTAAACTTTAATTTTTTTTTTTTAAATGAGACAAGACAGCTTTCTCTCAAAGTAAAAATGTGTGAAAAGTTACACAAACAGATCTATTCTTCACATTAATAATTTTAACAATACCTGTAGACATAACCTATTTCTGGTAACAACTTAAAAATCTATTTCCTGTAGTTGCAGTAACACACTATTACAGCAGTGAAAACAAAGGAGGAAGAACTGGTTTTAGTTCACCTCAACAGCACACTGGGTTTCATCAAGATTCAGCACAGTAACTGCATTCTCAGTTGAGTTCTTATAGACTTACTGCTTTTGACAAGCAGGGGTAGAATACAAGCTTAAGCTCAAAAAAAAAAAAAAAGAATTAACAATGCTTGTCACAGACAAAAACATGTTATATCAGTTCACTGAAGTTCCACAGACATCCAGTAATTTTTTAAAACAAGGTACCTGACCATTTAAATTTGTTACTAAAATGCTTCTTAGTGAACATTTATTAGCATTTAATAAAAATCAAGAAAATATTTTTCAAGCTATGTATACCTGTAAAGCAACTCCTAGGTATCAACTTAAAACACTGAAAAAAAATCAAGAGACAGTTAGCTTGTATTTGGGCCTCACAAATCCAAGGTATTAAGTTGTAGTCTTGTAAGCTAGGCTTGTACACATTTGCCAATTTCCTTGTCTAATCTTGGTGCATTCCCTGGTTTTCACTTCCACTCATTTTACTTAGATCAATTTTTGAAGTTACATAATATTTAAATTGTGGAGTTCTTTCCTACTGTTATATTAGACTTGAACATAAGAATTAGTAGGGAAAACAAATTGTATTGTTATTTTCCTGAATGACAGTTTTACATGTTAGGTGCCTGGTAGCTATTAACAGGGACAGATGTAATTACAGACATTTAAGAAAACTTATGAGTACATACATAATTCAACATAAAAGTTGTCCCACTGAAATCAGAATAAAAATCTGAGTTACGCAAATACTTACTGATTTTGTTGTACTGCTAACAAAAAAATGTCTACTTATTTATTAAGTAGGTTTTCAAGAAAACAAGGACATCTGAAATGATGGTTTAATTTACACTTACAGCTTAGAAAAAACATTATTTTATAAGGAAGTTCATACATTAAGCTTCAGCGCAGGTATTTCTTCTACCACAAGCTTTAGAAAGTTCCACAACAGAAGTTTTGACTCATTTATAACTTACTGGAGCAGTTAGTTGCTCCACTGTAATACACCTGGGCCACTTCAACAAAAACAACGTGGGTATTATTGAAGTAACAGAACATACTGACATTACTTGTAACAGAAATATGTGCACAAGGTCAAAAAAGCCAACACCACTACATGCCCCCAAGAAAAGCTTATGTGATTCAATACTTCAAAAGACAGAGTTCAAGAGTGAAATTTTAACTTTTTTAAAGCATGATAAAGCTCTTGAAAATCCAAAATAATGATTAAAAGGTTTTCCCATATTTTACTAGTTTCCTTTTTGTACAAAAGAGCGTCTTTGCCCCCTTACTCTAAAACTCTACTCAGTTTGCTTGAGCGAATTATGGAGCACCTCACCACAGGTACAGAAGTGAGCAGTATATTCAAGCACCAGTTACAGTTAATACCTGGAGAGATGCATGGACTGGGAAATGAAAAACGAAGTTGTTTCCACAGTAACACCAGTTATTTACAAATTAAGCTAATCTGTTGTCTTTCTTAATCATCTTCATGACAACCCAAGAGATCATCTCTGAAAAGTCCATTCTTAGTATTTTGAAAAAGCAATGAAATTGTAGCTGAAGAAGTCAGAGCAATCAAGCTAAAAAGAAAAAAGGGTCCATAAGATTCTCCAAACTCTGCTAAGGAAATATTTGGTATTTTGGAAGCCAAATAGGAAAGAACAAAGCAGACAAAAATGCAGACCTAAAGCAAAGGTAGAAAGGGTAAAAGAAAAAACTCAAGGGAGTTCCAAAGAAATGTTGTATAGGATTGATTTCTCCCCTCACCTCCAAGTTTCATACAGGTAAGGAAAGGGGATGAACAGCATTGTTACTGCCATGGTGCGGGGGGGAAGTATCTCAGCTGTATACTGAATTACTTTTATACATGACTAATTAACCTATTGCTGTGAGGTTCAAACATAAACTTGATATAATTTATTGAGTTGCCAAAAATTACCTTCCTGGATCAAGATTTCATGTTCCGCTGTAATTCACGATTACAGCTGGGGTTTGAGTAGATTTACATTAAAAGAAATTACCTGGTTCCATTAGAATATTGAAACTAAAGCTGCTACTAATGTAAATCAAAATATTTATTACCAAATTTAAATTATGAGCTATCTTAGTAGTTCAATAAAGCTGACAAATGAGAATTAAGTAGTTCAAGAATTAGATATCAACATTTGAATTAACAATAAATGACAGATTACTACCCTTATGAGTTCTACACTGCAAACTTCACATGAAATTTTAAACTTACCTCATCACTGGGATCTTGCATTGCTTTTTTTCCAGAAGTCTGATCAGGAGTCAATTCATTGAGCTCCACATGAAAGAGAAAGAAAATAAAGCCATACAGTGCTGGTCCCAGGCCATTGCACAGACCTCTTATTCCAGTTATTATTCCTTGGACAACACCTAATGAAGAACAAAAAAAAAAAAGTAGGATTTTTTTTTTTCAGTCAACAATAAAACACTCAGAGCTGTTGGCAGTATTTTAATGCCTGTTCCAAAATAGAACACCTCCATTATCTGTACATACTAAAATCTTAAGAAATATGTTGTAGACAACTTTGTTAGATTAAAATAATCCTCTGCATGACCATAGTTCTGTTACTGTACTTGCATTCTATTGGAAGCTACATGTGTTTTGAACACGAGTGACTAAATCTATGTGCAAGTCTAATTCTCTGTGTGAGAGAGTTCTTCCACCCTCACCCAAGTCCTACAATGAAGAAAGCAGAGGTGAAGTGTGGTACCTGCTCAATTTATTTTCAAGTGAAATTTAGGGTAATATATCTATGTGTTAAGGGTTGTTATTGGCAAAATAGCCACAAACTTTAACAGATTTCTTCCCTTCACCAGTCCAAAACTAGGCTTTATTTAAGTACCAAGTGACTTATTCAGGGCAGTAAATTCAGCAGTACTGCAGTAAATTCACAATACTAGACTACTGGCAGTTTTAAATTACATTATTTTAAAAGCTTGATTAATCAATTAAGTTCTATGGGTGTATTTCTATTTCAACTTCAGTAAGTGATTATGTCAGTGCAAGAAGTTTTTTTACTGTTTTACAGATTAAGATTTTACAAAACACTATTTTTACGGTATTAGTAGTCTATGTATCCTCTTCCTTCTTAAGGCAGTAACTTGTAAAAAGGAAGGAAAGAAAACATGCCAAAACCAAAGCTGTCCCAAAACCAAAGTTTTTTCTTCATGTTGACATGTAAACTTATCTTCATGCCACTAGGTGGCAAAACTTCACTTGTATGCCTATTAACAGTAGTTTCTCCTATGTAAAATAGAAGATCAATTACTTCTGTCAACTTAACTAAGCTATTCATTTTATGATACAAATAGAAAACAAGTCTTTTAAAACTCTTTGATATGCCTTTATTAGAAACAAAAGTGGGAGAAGGGGAAATTATTAAAAACGCCATGTAACATACTGACTTTTGCACCTTCCAGTCTCAATAGAAATCTGCCTCCTAGAACTGCACATCTTTTGTACCTCCCATATTAACTGCACTTATCTAACTTCAAGTTTTACAATGTTAAAGCAAGACTGACACTTATGGTTTATATGTATAGGATTTTTTAAAGAGAACACTAAATTCAGTTATCATATGCCAATGTTATACTTTGAGATGCTTCCTTCCCTCATTCATTTTAAATTAAGAGGTATTTATGATAGTTCATTCCTGTTCTCATGAAAACCAGTGAATACTTCTGACTTCTCAGATCAGCTATTTACTTAAGCTTCCTTTTCTATTCCATGAAAATCTGAAGTATTATAGCAAATAGAGCCAACTTTTCCACAGAATAGAGCTTCTTGTATAGCCTTATTTTAATCTGGTAAGATGTGTTTTTATTTTCTATTAAAAAAGATTGTATTGTTACACTAAACCTCACTATCTACTTAGAGAATATTAACTTTAATTAAAAAAAGAGGAAGGAAAAAACATGAAAGTTACCACATCTGTTTTTGTTGCTTTTGTAGTACTTTTACAGGAAGCTAGAAGAGAAGTAGATGGTCAGGCAGAAACTATGTATTTTGCAATGCAAATCTGATAAATTTGTGTACCTCCTTCCTCTCTACACAGATTGCCAGACTTCCACATTTATTACTAAAGAAACTCATTACTTATCAACATATTTGAAAAGTACACCTCGTATTCTGCTTTCTAGATGGAAGAGTCATCCAAGAAGGCAGTCTGATGGTGAAACAGAAATTCAACCAATACTCACCTTGTTGATCTGACTCTGCATTTCGTGAAACCAGAGCACTGATTGCAGGAAATGTAATGCTTGACATGGCTGCTACAGCTCCTGCTGCCCACATCATCCTGTGTTAAATGCACAATTTTAATTAAAAATGAGACTGCCCATATAATTACTCCCTAGTCCTGCAAAAAAGACCACAAGGGTACCCTCATTTAAGGCTTAATGCCCTTTCAAATTACTCTTGCTAAAATACCTAAACACTGGAAACTTTCTAGTCAGGGCCTTCTTCCTGCTCCCCTCCCACAACTTACCCTGAGCTTGTTGGAACAGAAGTGCATTTGATTCTACACTAGCTATTACAACTGAGAAAAAGAAGGGAGTGGGAGTGAAGTGATGCACAGGCCTTCTCTCTCTGTAGGGGGCTGTACAAAAGAACAATTTCACAGGGTGACCCAGTAAGGCAGTTCTCTAACTTCTGTAACTCATTAGGAAGTGCTCTGATAAAGAACAAGCATTCATCACTGTCAGGAGGACAAACTTTGTAAAGAAAAAGCTGTTCCAGCTTACAGTTCTAGTTCACTTTATTTACAGAGTTTTTGCAACAAAAGAAGCTCTAGATAGTTTCCAAGACCAAATACAGTTATAGTAAGAGAATGACATGTTAGAAAAAAGTAGAGGTCCAGTAACTGGTTAGAATGGACCTAGCAGAATTACTAGACAGAACATACTAATTATTACTAGTTTGTGAGTTTAAAAAAGGTTCTAACCACATTTGTAGACATAAAACTCAGTGGACGGAAATGGTACAAAGACCCCTTTTTCGAAAGGGCTGATAGCTAGATAATGTAAGTTGCAGACTATCTGGAAAATTCTATTATTCCTATATGTGCAAAATACATACTACACTTTGGTAGTGTAATGCAAATGAGATTGCTTAATTCACAGAACATTTAAATAGTCATGACAACAGAATTAAATGCTAGAATTTCTTGGAAAAGCATTTTCAGTTCCTTAACAGGTATGTACCTATGAAAATGCATGCTTACCAAGACTGAGATCCAAAACCATACCAAGCCAACTGAAGGATTTGAAAGCCAAGGCCAAGGAGAACTGTATTTTTGTTCCCTATCGACCTCATCAAGATACTGAGAAACACAGTCTGCAAGAGAAATAGGTTCATCCAAAAGTTATTTTAAGAAGCCAGATTGCTAAAGTAATTTCTCCTTCTACAGAAAGTAATTCAGATCTTTCAGCTGCTGAGGAACTTCACATTATTCATGTTCTTACTTCCCCTGTATTAAATCCAAAATGCAGACTATTCATATCAACATCTGATGTACTGACATTCTTAACTATTAAAGAGTTTCTACTTCAGGACATCGAGAAGCATATGTAGGGCCTTCTCTATGGACATTTTATCTCAGTGTCTGTTTCTACTGTAAGCAGGCTTTCATTTCTACCTCTACAATTCTGTTTCATTACAGACTAAAGAGTTCCGCAATAAATGCTGGTATCAAGTTAAGATAGCACAGGCTGGATATGCGTTGAATTTACCAGTATCTACAAATACCAGAGAAAAAAAATTACTGTTAGCTCAGGAAAAAAGTAACCTCTTTAGGGCAGGTGAATTACTACCCAAATTTACAATTAAAATCAGTAAATTAATCCTGCTGCTTTTCCAGCTTCACCACACAAACTGAGATTTGGCCAAGGCCAATTCCTAGGCATCTTTAATTGCATTTTCTGCTGGCTATTTACACCACTCCTATGACCTTTTTGTTGCACATGGAAACTAATCCTAAAGGAAGACTATTGTTTTTCATCTGTTAGAAGTGTTACTGCTGAGGAGGAAGGAGGTCCCAATTCAGATACAACAGCAATACACTCATAGAAAGACGCAGACTGTTCCTAGTAAGGCAGAGTCCATAGGGACAACTTCAGTTAACAGTGTACACGTTTTTTTTTAACATGAGAAACTCAGCAATGTATCAGTAAAAAGCCAGAGAAAAGGAACAAGAAGGACTGCAGAGCAGAGCACACTTCCTCTCTTGGGTACGTCTTACTCACACTAGTTTTCTTGTTTCTCACTTTTCAAAGCAGCTAGTTTGAAAGCTAAATAGCAAAAATACAGTAATCTACATGTGATCAGTTCTTTCTGAAGATATCCAACATGCCAACACAAATCAGTATTTATGAATCAAAGCTTATTTCAATAAGCTGCACTCTTCAAAGAGTTCAAAAAAATCAATGCAGAGTTTCCTCATTTTAACACTGAAAATTATGAACCAGAAGGGCAGCTATTTTAGACATCATTCAGACCAGTATTTTTGCTAAGAAAATATGACTAGCAAATGTGACTGCACATAAAAGCATCAGAACAAAACACAAAGCGAAGATTAAAATCACAGAATCACAGAATCACTAAGGTTGGAAAGGACCTTCAAGATCATCAAGTCCAACCATTAATCCAGTGCCACCATGTTCCCTAAACCATGTCCTGAAGCACCACATCCACACGTTTTTTGAACACAAAATAATGACTTGTATTGATAATGGACACAACTGACACCAATAAAACTGGTAAACACGAAGGAACATGTTCTTTACATCAAAACAGCGACACCTCCACTCTGCTAAGGATGGCGACAAGGTTACAGCACATTGTGTGTGCCACTCCTCTCCCTGTTATCACAATGGAAAGACAAACTGCACCCACAAAGATACCAAAGATAGCATCATAAAAACTGTATGATTTCTAAAAGGCATAAAGGACCTGTCCAAAAACCATCTCACTGTTGCCAGTTAAGAAGTATGAAAGCAATAAACCAAGGCCTCGCAGCTCCTCAGTCTCCATGCTGAGCCTAAATAACCCTGGACAGACCATGTGAACAGATGCATTGTTTGTATGCAAGTTTGATAGCATGAGCCAACTGAACAGCTGCAAGTAGCATGGCTTTTGCTTAAAATAAATAATGCAAGGCCTTCTGAAAGGGAAACCTGTTAAGTAACCAACTTCCTATATCATTTTAATCATTTAAAGTTTGAGTTCCAGTAAATTTACTGATCTAAGCTCAGCAAATGTTAATTTCATTTTCTGATGCCCAGGTCCAGCATTTCTAAGGAAAGCAGATTTAAAGCAAGACATTTACGCAGACTATATATATGAATATAACCTTTAGTGAATGCAAGATACACTGACATTTTAGAACATGTTAAGTTTATAGACAAGCTTAACAGTCAGAAGAGCGTGCCTCACGTTCAGTTTGTACTGTTTAATAAAACACTAAGAAGAATAAAGCTTACCTGAGCTATTATAGACAGAATGCCAACCACAGCTATAAATGCCGCAATGCTAGCAGATCCAAAACCTATAATCTGAACAGAAACAAATAATGCATAAACCAAATGCCAAACACAGTCCAGGACAATCACTAGCAAACAGGTACCTTCTTCAAAGAAAATGCTGCTTATAACCTAAATTCATACAGGAATACTTCATACAGGAAGTGTCCACTTTTGAGACTAATCCTTAACTTGACTGCTTGCCAAGAAAACCACACAAGAAAAAGAAACTGCCTTGAAAAAGGAGACAGAGGAAGTCACATATCTGGAAACTGAAGTCCTCTATCCCCTCCCACTGACACAATAGCTATTGACAGGCAAGGTCCCACCTTGAGACATGCAAACTGCTGCCCTGAATGGGAACAAAGGTCTGCTTAGCTTTGTTAATACATGCTTAAGCTATGGCAGGGCTTAATCGTCAGGAGTCAAGTGTTATTCGGTTCTTGGCTTAGCAAAGTACCCTGCCTTTACCTTTTAAAGCTGTATTTTGCCAGAAAGCAGTTTTCTGAGTGAAGTCTTCAACATGAAACAGGTTTTAGGGAATATTTATTTAAACATCTTCAGTAAGATGTGAAGACACAAACATTTACCTGTCGCAAGTACAGAAAAAAGCTAGAATACTGGCCAGCCTCAGGCAGATAGGAAAGAAACACTGTAATGCAGATTGGGAGAACTGTAGAATCTTTTCTAACCTTCTTCAGTGACTGCAAAACAATGAAACAAAACAAGTACTGGGACTTTTATACAAAGTCTAATGAAAGCATAAAGAAAGCAGACAGTGGATTCACTTTTTTAAAATCCATTTTTACCCATACATACAAGTCAAAAAAGTCACACATGTAAACAGTTAAGCTGAACATTAACCTCCTATATATATTAACATTAAGCTTCCTATATATGCCTCTAGGGAAAAAAAAAAAAAATCAGGCTTTTTAGATCAATTCTGTATTAAAAAGAAACCATGTATAACCAAAAAATGGAATTTAAGAGTGGAGAGAGATATTGCCAACCAGAAGTATAAAGCATAAAATGAATATGGACAAGCCTTACTATATCATGTTTTGGGGTCTGTAGCAGTGTAAGAATTCAGCATTTCTCTTATAATAAAAGAGAGAAAGTAAGTTAGAAAAGTAAAGCATCTTTCCTTTGGATTTCACACAAAACGTTTCCAATTCAAGAATCATTTATTCCACAAAGTTTGGTTTGGCTTTATTTTTTAAATGTAGCTATGATCTTTTTGTGCAAGAGCAGAGAACAGAGATTATGGTATACTGAACAGTCAGGCTACCAATAAGATTGAAGAATTCTCAAGCTTAAAAAATGCAATTAATTTGTATTATTAATTAATAATCAATTATTTATTAATTACTTCTTGAAGTGCATCTTACTGCAAAAGGGTCTGCTTGTTCCCATGATATAGAAGCTCCCCATGAAGCAGGTCTCATTTTTTCTGGCAGAGATTCTGGTACAGCTAGCAGGATGAAGCAGATGTCCACAACAGCCACCAATGTGGCCACTAGTACAACAAGGTTATCTCCGTAGCTGGCAGACAGGTATGCTCCAATGGCAGGGCTCGTTACCAAACTTGCTGCAAAGGTGGCAGATACCTATGCACAAGAACAGTGTACAAACTTGTCAAAGTGGTTATTCTGCCACTGCAGAAAAAAAAAAAAATGAAGAAACCTGCTGAACAACACCACCCCTCCCCAGAAGTGTGGTTTTAAAACAAGACCAGTCAAAATTTAAGTAAAAAAAAAAAAAGTCACTTATGACAATAAATATGAGTCCAAATAAAGTTTCTCCAACCTCCTGCACAGCTCACCATACAAGAGAGGATTCGCAGTCAAAGAGCAAGTATGGCTCAAAGGAAAACAACTCTTACTTTCAAATAGACTAAAATGTATTTTGTTTTCCAGTTATGAACTTGAGACTTCACTGAAAATGTTGACAGCACATTTAAATGCCTGCTTAGCTGTACCTGAGCCTCAGCACTCTGGGTAATACATAGAGTAATACATAATGCCTTTGTTAACAGTTTGCATTTTAAATACATAGCTACTACTGAATAGCACAGCAAACTAGGAAATCATTAGCCATGACAACAGCTTCGACAACTGTATTGCTTCATACTATGTTGTAGTGACATGAGGCTACTAACAGATCACTTACTATATTTACATACAGAACATGATGAAAAATCAAGTGCTGTAGTTAAATTTCGCTATAAAAAATCATCACAAAAGGTCAGAATAAAGCTAGTTTGTTTGTTTTTAATTAATACTTTTTCCAGTCCCCAAAATAAAAACACTCTGCCTAACTATTTTATAGAATAAGTAAGAACACAAGCTAGAAATTTACATTTGCCCGAAGCTAGAAAAAAATCCTAAGGAAAAGGTGTAACAAACAAACTGATTAAAAAGAGATAGAAACCTCAAAGCAAGGGCACTCGGGTCTATCACTTTACAGAATTTTAGATCAAGCTGTTTCTATTAACAAAAAACTGTTTGAAGGCAGGCAAACATATGCTCCAAATATAGTTATGGCCCTCTTTATAGACAGGAGAAATAAAGTGGAAATTCCAGAACTTTTAAACCTGTTTTGCACTCTGCTACAACGATACACACAAGTTTCATTCAAGAGTCCTTTATGTTCTTAACCGTTAAATCAACATCTGAGGAATCATACACCCCTAAGGCTAAAAATAAAGGGAAACCTTAACAGCTCCAAGTACAGTACAGTCAGCCAAGAAACAAGTCAATGAATATCTGCATAGTGAAAACAGAGGATGAAGGGATAAATGACATTCAAAGGCTAAGGGCATCTACCAAAGGGCCTCCAAAACTGAAACCAATATAGATATTTAGGAAAGTAATAGAGATATTACTGGAAAGGCTGGTTTGTACTAACTGAACTATCTTCCTCTTCTCTTGCTAATTAAGAAAGGTCATGACTAAGTTACTAAAAATACTGCATTACGCATTTTTGCCTTTCCTGCCTGTTTTGACTATAGAAAAAGCCATTCTCTATTAAAAATAAATCACATAAACTAAAAGTGCAGTTTACAGGTGGGGGAAAGATATTGCCAGAGAAAGTATTAAATAACTTGCATTGCTTTCAACAACGCTACTTGTTCTGCCTGCAAAACTTAAAACATGTTTTGTTACACATGCCCTCTATGCAGGTAAAGTTGTCAAATTCTTGTGCCATTCCTATGAGCACAGAGCAGTCTGTGCAGCAGTAAGAAGTCTAGATTTCCCGAACTCTAACACAGTGCCTTAATGCATGGTTCATTCCTTTCTCTATCAACTTCACTGCATTATCAGGAAATAATCTGTGCATCAAAACACAAGTTCAATACGAAGGTCATAATCCGACCTTTTTTCCAAGTTTAGCGTATCTTACCAGTCCATAGGCTGTAATTCTTTCATGTTCTTGTGTTACATCAGCTACATAGGCAAATATTACAGAAAAGGTAACAGAAAAGATTCCAGATACCGAAATCATAGCGAAGTACCACCTAATGATTTAAAAGCAACAATTAGAAAGTTTAAACTAAGACCTCTTGCTTTTCTCTTAATAATCAAGTTTGTATTTAATCTAGGAGAAGCATTCCTCAAGAACTAACATAGAGCTTTAATGAGGATGAGTGATTGTGCAGTCTTACTTAAATATTGAAAAACAGCATTTTAAATTTTTCATATTCTACTGTTTACAATACATCAGCCTAAAAGAAGACGTGGCCCCTTCAGGACATGGTACCAATACATTTTAACACTCTCAAAGCTGAAGCAAGTTTAAATTATGAAAAACGAATTACCTTAAAACTCAGCTTCTCAACCAGTTAAGGAATAAACTCATATATAATGCTTCAGAAGCTGAACTCTGAATGCACTGTGTACACAAAGTTCTTTTGTAATCCTCCTAAGTGTCTCAACGAATGTAAATGAAACTGAAAACAAATCAATTCCACTCAGTTAAGACTTCAAAGGTAGCTAATCAAAAAGCTAAAAGATCGCATTTGCAGCAATTATACTTTTCTGTGGTCAATACATTCTAAGGTTCATACAGCTTTAAAAATGTTTATTACAGCGTTGTCAGTCCTCAAGAGAAAAAAATTAACAGCTGAGCTTAAAACTGAGTTAGATAGGGCTATCAAACCATTTCAACTACTGTTATGCTTGCGTGAATACAGTGACTAAATCACATTCCATAATTTCTACTTTTAAGATACACAGTTTTAACACCTCTCAAACAGAAAACGTCCAGAATAACACGATCACATCTTGAAAGTGCCTCTCCTCTTGTTTTACTGTCCCACTCCTGCTTCTCCAAACTACTCTTCTGATTGAATTTCTGCTGTACTGACAAGATCTCGACTGCAGTCTGTACCACTTACCATGGACTTAGTCTCATTAATGGAATTGGGGCACAGGTGAAGAAAACTGTAAGAAGAAGAAAAGATTTTCTTCCCCAAGCATCTGAAAGAGCACCTATTAGCGGAGCACTGAGAAAGGACAAAAAACCCTGTGACAGAAGAAAAACAATATGTCTGTATTTACATTTCCAAGTTTCACTTTAACCATAAATAAAAAAAATACTAGAATTGCAACTTGCTTTGAAATTAAACACAAAATTGTAGATAATTGAAATTGTTCACAATTTCTTCTACAGTCTACTTTTAATGTTACTTTGACATTTTACATTTCAAATCTATTAAACCTGAGTGCATTTAAACAAAAAAAAGCATGCATTTTTTTCAAGATCCATTTGATTCAATATAGAAGTACCACAGACTGCAAAAGCTTCCTAAAAATCTCCAAAATCTACAGTCTAGTTTCACAAAGGAAATCTTCTTACCTCTATCACAGACTTAGTGCTAGATCCCAAAAACCCAAATTCCCCTCTAATTTGGACTGTTCTAAGGGATAGTTTTTGGTAACCTAACTGTTCTCTGAAACAAATTAAACAGAACGCTTACTGCTTTATACTACATATTTATCATGTGCAGGACATTTGTAGATTGCAAGAACTATGAGGACCACTTGAGCAAGTTTGGTAAATTGAGACAGTGGAACACCATAATGATATTCCAGTGACAAAAGTCACACTTACAGGTACAGTTGTCATGGAAAAAATTGGCTAAGGACCAAATACGAGATTTTTCAGCATTTCATAAAGTCCTAGAATCTACACCTGAAATTTGTTCTGTATTACACAGAAGAAATAAAATAGGCAAAGCCCTTCACAGGTTTGTTAACTGCAAAACCTCCAGAACAGATGCATGTTCCTCCGAATTAGTATATCAGTCTCTCATCAATACAACTGTGCCGTAAATTCAAACATCAGTAAATACATTCTGTAAGCACCTCAATATACTGGAGGTCTACTCCAGCTAACCTCTGGTATTCAAATATAGTCACCTTCAAATTTAACATATGTGTACAGACTACTATACAAAATTGCTGTTCTGCCAAATCCCAATAAACAACTCTTGATTCCAATGATTTCAGTAAGTAAACTGAAAGCAAAAGCCATACAGCCATGAGACCCTAGGAAATGCATATGCCTTAGATGAAGTCAATGTTTTTGCTCCTTAAGAGTCAGATTTCAGCTGAATATCAATTAACATGTTTTGCTGTGACCCAAAATGCTTTTTATGTTTCATAAACAGCATTTTAAAGAAAATATTGGACACTGAAGTTCAAGTTCTGGACAATGCTCCTCTGTTTATTACACCTTTTAGAGCAATACATACGTTTAGACCATGATATTAATGCACTTTTCTACAGATAGGCTCTGTAGAAAATATATGGGGAACTCTCCATTCACTACTTTCAAGTGATACCCATAGTTACACTGCACTGTGAACAGAGTTGAAAGAAAACACCAGGAGGAACATGAACTTTGTTTTTCTAAGAAAACAATGCAAAGTTAAATTCCTCTTTCAGTTGGAGATATCTCGACATCCCTAATGCATGGTGTTCTACCAATTCACTATGAAAGATATCAAGACAGCATCCTAAAGATGTCATGTTCTTACAGATAAAAACAATGGTTTAGACTGATTACAGAATACAAAGGTAGGTAATTTCTGAGTGCTATAAAGTAACTTAGTCATAAGTTATACTAACTGCTTTGAAGCCTCTCAATAAGACAGTTCACAAAGAAGAGCCTTTCAAGTTTTACTTATGCTAGAAAAATTTTGCAAGCTTTTTTGTGGCAATAATCCAGCATGACCACTGTGTGAATCCAGTGGCATAAGTAAACTGTAAGCTGCCCTGAGTTATCTTGACCATCACAGAATGCTCAAAAAATTATAAAAAAAGATGAGGGAGACAAGAAAAACCCAGCCCTGCTGAAAATTAGCTTTTATACCACATCTTGGACAAAATCACAGTGTTTAAGTGCCTCATTTTTTATCTCAATGGTACCATTACAGCTGCATTAATCTGCTTCTGATATAAATCAACTAACATTAAGAAACAGACATTAAAAACTTAGTTCCACTTTCAGAAGGATCCTTATCAAGATTACAATAGCTACAACTGGTACCTACTCAAAGGAGAGAAATTTAAACTTCTGAGAAATATTCCACCTGTTTCAAGATGTAATTAGCAGTAAATCTTGAACTGAGCCCAAGAACACAACCATTATAATGAAAAAATGGTTGAAGAATTAATTACATTCTCATTGTTTTGGAAGTTCTTAAGGAGAATGCAGGAAAGACAAACTGCAATACAGGAACACACTGAATATTTAGATCAAAGGTTTTAAAACAATCTTACCTTAACACCTTGAATAAGACCATTCATTAAAAATGTATGATGGGAAAACGTTTCATGTAAGACCTGACAGGGGAAAAAAGCATTTATTTGAATCAGCAAAGACTGAAGAAAGTTGATTCAAAGTTTAAATTTGATTTGTAAAACAGGATAGCTCTACTGGGACTTGTTAAAAGAGTATCTTATCCCAAAATTATACTTTTATTTGTCTTCATGAGAAAATATTGACAAGTTCTAATATAAATTTAATGGCATATATTCCTCTGTTGGCACAGGCCACACAGTACTGCAGAGATAGTTTGGTTTAGGGTACTTTGCTCAGAAAGGGGATCAATGTAAGTAAAAAGCATCTCCATGTGGTACAAATCACAGACTTTTTGAAGGTAAATAATTCCTTCAAAAGGTTGACTCAATCATTGCTACTAATTAGGAGTGAAAATGAGATTCAGCTAACTTACTCTGTCAAGAAAAAAGCAGCACTATATTCACAACTGCCCAAAAAGGCACCGTGCAAGTTGTTTCTCAACAAATTGCAGATATTCAATAGTCATACAGTTAGAAACACTTCTGATGAACAAGTAGATGCTTATAAATAGTTCTAAGTGTTTCATGTATCCTTTAAGTACAGCTATGAATTCATTTAATGTGCTTTACCAGCACTCTTAATTCAAGGGCAAGCATGTTAATCTATACTAAACAGATTTACCATAAATATACAAGAGAGTTAAAAGGCCTCACAGGTGCTAATGTGCCAATTAAAAATGTTACTGCAATTATCAAAGCGTGTATGCACACACACTTCAAATTCATTTGCTGTTTTTATCTATAGACAAGTACCAACAACTACAAATATTATTTATATGCATACTGAGAAAGCCACTAGCCTGAAGAAACACAATACTTTAGTGTCAATGAAAAATATCAGCATCATTTTTCAAGGATGACTGAGATTCTCAAATCATAGGTTTAGTAAAGGTGGTTGTTCCCATGTTAACTACTGGTCAGATAATTCTGCTTATTTACACCCCTTTTTCCTTCTGGTCTCATCTTCTGTTTAGATATTTAAAATAATATTGCACCTGTTTCACCACCAATCTTATGATACGAATGGAGAGAAAAAAAAAGTCAGGGTTCAAAATGAGAGATTTAGAAAGAAGATTTCTTCCAAGTCAAAAAAGAAAGCAAGCAGGAAGATCATAGAGTCAAATCTAATTATCTTTCTGTAAAGTACACTCCAGTATTTTTCTTGGGAGACAATTACTGCTGATATTGGTTCAAGCTTTTGAGATTAATTTCTGTTACTTTACAGACAAGAGAAATGCAAGTTGACAAACTGCTAGAGGGAACTGCTTTACGCAAGTTCTACCTATAGAAATATTTACATAATCAAAAAAAAGATTATACTGAAGACAGCATATGCCATTAAATGATTTATATTGCTTACAGTGATTTACTAATATTGGCTTACAAGTCCATAAATATGAGTAATGAGCATAATCTTTGGCAGTCTCTGAACCAAATAGCCTTTGTGCATTTTATAAACACTTCTCTAAGTATAGTGTCATGTAACAAACACTACAGCTTTGCTGACAGATGTCAAAAGACATAAAAAAGTAAATAAAAAAATGAACTTTAAGTAATAGCTATCATAGAATACATACAATTTATTTTGATAATACAACAAAAACGTTTTACTCTGACTGAATGTTGACAATGAACTGAAGAATCCCAACACAACAACAAAACATTTAAGTGATCACGAGCTTTGATCAACAGGCCGGGCATTTCCATTTCTGCCTTTCATGCCAAACTAACCTGCTTAAGCAAAAGTGGGCAGCTGGCAATTCAAAGGCTGAACCTTGCTCATAATACAGCTCCACATGACGTCTAGTACTGCTGGCTGATCAGCAGGCCAAGGTAAGTTACCAAAAGTACGTTACAAGACAGAGGGGAGCAAAGTATCAAACCAGATTTGCAATTATTTAAATCAAACAGCAGCCTTTCAGTGTATGCAAAATGTATACAAATAAAGATGATCACCCCCAAGAACACAGAAGTCATTTACAGCTGTGTAAGGTAAGTTACATGATTATATGTAACTCAGTCCTTTAATTTTTCAATCCAATGCAACAGCCTCGTAAGAATTCAAGACCACTTAAGAGAGGAAAACATTCAAAATACAAGGCATACAAGAACACAACTGTACTGAATCCACGTATTTCAGTCAAAGTAAGAATTTAGCTTTACATTAGAAGCATTTTATAACACTCCCATTAGAAAAAGTGCAATGATAAATACTAATTACAAGAGTTAATATTTCAGCTGCCTGTGACTAAATACAATTTCATATGGAACTATTTCAGCTGGAGTACGCTATTGAAGAACACACCTAACATACAGTTTTATTAAAGTTTTGTTGTTTTTTTTTCTGAAGACTCCATAAGCACTATGATTTGAATATTATCCCTTTAAATGAGAAGTGTCAAGCTAGGGAAAATTCAAGATGAACATTTTGGTTAATAAAAGAAAGGAAAGAAAAAAAAAGAAACAAGAATGACCACCCAGTAAGTTTCCCCATATTTTGACACTGGCAAAACAGCATCACAGGATGGTAATTTAGTGAGACATCTACTTTATGGAAATCTGTTAACTATTTATATGGACTTTTTTATTATTAAGGTATGTTTAAGAGATCAGTGATTGTCTTTAGGAAAGTTAGACAAACACCTTTCAGGAGTTATATAGATGATTTTATTTGGAGTTTGGGGAAAGAAAATAATTAACTTCAAGGTCTTTCAATCCCACAAAACATTGCTTGCCATGTAGTTGAAGTGCTCTCAGGTATTATCTGATGAAAAACTGGACTAACACACTTTGGTTGACTTCTCTCAGGCAGCTCTGATTTCAATGAATAAGACCCATGTCTTCAAATGAAAGGCTTCATATCCTATTAACAAACACTCAAATTATCTATTCATCTGGAAAATAACTGCATTCCAGAACAGATTAAATACTTATAAAATCCATTTCTTACATTAAAGCCTTTACATGTTACTTCCAAGTTACATGCTGGCAAAACAGCCAGCCCACAATAGCATACAAAGTTTACTGTGAGATGCATAGTTTATTCAGTTGTTATGCCTGGAAGATGAATTGAACTATGAAATCTTAAAAAAAGCCAGAATTTCCAGAGACTTTCATCAATACATTAAACTGATGTTAACTCTAAAAGGCAAGTAAAAGTTAGAGCAGTTAGAGCAGTATAGCACTTTGCTAATTTAATCTTCACTATCTTTTAGTCTTTCAGCAGTCCAGATCTTAGCTGTAGTACACAACCATTGCACAGTGTTGAATGTTAAGACTCCTGGAATTCAGTTAATGAGGTAAGCAGAAAGCGTAAAACAAATTAAAACCCCAATCCCTAGGAATTAGTAAATTGATTTTTGTCATTACTGCTAAGATGACAGCTGATCTGTGACACTTACCGTTAGCATTGGAGTTGTCAATAGCCCCCAGGCAAAGAATTCTAGAAATATGACCACCACCGCATGGTACATGCTTGGCCGACCAATACCCTGCTGCTAAGAAAGAAAAACACATGCAGTGGTTGTAAACATCCAGTTCATTACATGTGCAAAGATCTCTTACAAACATATTTTGAGCATAACCAGCTTTCAGGATGACCTACTGCCAAGCCCTTGGGAACAACAGTAAGCCAAGCAAGGGTGGAGAAAAGTTATTGCAAAATGAGTAAAGATCTCCAGGAACTTGAGAAAAAATTGATTCAAGGCATAATCTGGAAAAGCAGAATTAAAATCCTGAAAGGAAGATGCACCTGGGAAAATCAAGACAAAGCATTCCACATCAGATATACCAACAGCTACCAATCCATGACCAACACAGACGGTAGTTGATGATTTTCAGTTTTCTTTACAGAGCCCTAAATGTCCAGATTAATTCAAGAACACTTGTGGGAATGACTGTGTCAGGAAATTAGAATCATACAAACAGGAAAGTTCACTGACATTGTCAAATGGACCAACATGGATGCCTATACTTTCTGTAGGTCCTAAAAACTCATTACAAAAGCTTTCAATTTTTAATCAAACATCAAGTTATTTTCAAGAAAAGAACATATTTTTTGACTGATCACATACACTGCCGGGACCACCGATAAAAAGGCAACAAAACTTCTTTGAGCATTTAAAAAATCAAAGAGCTTTCTAAAAACACTTCACATTTGCTTTTAAAATGAAGCTACTCCAGTAGTAATGGGTGTGGCTCATTTCTAATTGAGAAAATATTTTGCAACAGAACACAACTGCATGCAACTTACATAAATAATGAATTTGAGACACACATGCAGAAAATTAGCATAAACTTGAACACAAGGAGCTTTAGGCTTCTTGGAATAGACAATATGGGGACAATCTACTGAATTCTTTATGATTAAAAAGATTTAAACAGAATTTCAGAATTAGCACAAATACAGTCAACATACAAGTTGCTTTCATCATATTCCACCCCCCAATTTTAAAGTGCTAATGATAAAAATTAAATGTCCTCAGGAAAGTCTTCAAATCTGTTACGGGCTTATTTTCTGCCCACACATCATCTTCATATGACAGCCCAGTGTGTGGACTGAGAAACTATGTATGAATATTACAATTGCTTTCAAATGCAGCTGCTGGTCAAGCTATTATACTTGCATAAACAATGAGCAAAATATTAGGTAATCTCAAATGCTTAACAACAGAAGCTTAAGGCCATCATTATAAATCTGAAGACCTAGATGTTCTAAGAATATATCCATTATATCTCCAATTTTACACTTCTGCACCTTCTATGCTTCTTTTCACCCATACCCAAGTCTAAAAAAAAACCATTTTTTCTTCTGCATGTTATTGGAGACAGAATAAACCCAAAGTTAATTTGAAGACAACAGGAAGAACTACTTGGACGCAATACAGACTTTTTTTTAAAGCAGAATACATCTGTTGGACATGAATAATCCCATGAGAAGATGTCAAGATCATAAATCCAGCTGGCAAGGTATTGCTCATAGAAAAGGGGGAAAAAACTGCAGTGTCGTAGCAGTACAAATACCTTATCTTAGACATTTTGAAGGAGAGCTAATACAATTCACCCTAAAATACTCCACAGCAAGATGCAATTTTATAGCCAGTCACAGATCTTCAGAGCAAATCTAGAATTCACAGTATTCAATTATTCACACAACTTTTAGGTAACTATTTATCTGTTAATTCAGATCTGTAATTTAACAATTAAAATTGTTCAAACGGCTGCAAAAGCACCTCAACATCCAATTTCAAACATGCTTAACTGTTTCTCTTAAGTAATGTGCTTATTTCAGAACAAAACCACTTGTGACTGTTCAAATCCTGAAGTCCTCCAGAGCATCTTTTCAAACTTTCCACATTTTGATGAGGGACACGTAGTCCAGCTAGGCAGATTAAGAAAGACTCGACTGGATAAACACAACACACTTGTTTCCTCCCATGAGGGTGAAGCAGCAGAGCCCACTGCCCACAGAGCTGGACATCCATTCTCTGTCATTGAAGGGTTTCAATACTCAACTGGAAAAGCCCTAGGCTACCTGCTCAGGCCTCACAGCTGATCCGGCCCTGAGGAGGAAGAGATCTCCCTAAAGGACCTTTCCAGTAAAATAATCCTGTTATCTCTCAGGCAGATAACAACCAAACTCAAACTGAACTTCTGAACAATCATTCCTTTTCCCTCAATACCCTCCTCTAAGAAATTCTTTCCCACCAGGTAGCAGGATCTCTCATGAGAGCCTGCTAGCTGCTTGTTCTGCTTCCAATACAGAGAACTTTGCACATAGCACTCCCTGTCCTTCCACAGTACATAAACCAACATTCAACTGCATTAGTATGAACAGTTTTCTTACCTTCTTTTAAAAAAATTGTCTACAGAAACATCCTCTCCCAACAAAAATTAACTGCTACAAGTACATTGTTTTACACAACTACCTACACTGCAGTCAGCTGTGTTAACTCTCATGTCTTCAAGAAAACAAAGAACTGAAGTAACAGAATCAGTAAAACATTTTGAGAAATACGCTTCCATGTATGAATCATTCCAATCTGAAAGTTCATACCAAATTATAAAGCACATTCCTTTTCCACATTTATCTTCACTGAGATTTTCTTCGTTTCCCTCCAAAATTCAACAATTTCCAATGCAAACTTTTCCTGGTGTCCTTCACTACATCACTATTTAATGATTTTAGCTTATTCTAGCACAAATATTATGCTCCAATCCATGTCACTACATTTATGGATGCTCTTTTCCTCACACATATTAGCCAGGTAGCTCTCTAGGCATATTGCATGTTTACCTCCTTCTAGTGCCTATTGCCTTTAATTTTCAAACAGAAGTATTTAGGAACCACCTTGATTATAACTGTTCCCCACAAATGCCCTATTCATTGGAACTCGCAAGAATTCACTCCAGTGCAAAAAAAAAAAAAAAATCACCCTGAAGACCTTAGCTGCCTTTGTCACATGAGGCAATCAAGTAATTATGTATACAAACCTCAGTCTAAGACATGTAACTTGTATGCAGTGCAAAAATACACTGAACAAAACTGAAAGTATTTTCCAATCCAGCAGAGCCTTTAAGCATTTTAGATGTGCCTTGTGAGCCGGAACAGAAATCATAACTAATTCAGCTCATATGTTGTCCAAACTTCTATTTTAGTCACAAAAGAAACACCTTAAGCAGATCTGTATGTGGACAGTAAGATCATGATGCACGCTCTCAAGAAAAAGATAGGCTAAATCATATTCCACAGATCTAGAGTATCAGAACAACAGCTTGTTCAAAATGCAAAAGTCTGTACAGATTTTGTAGACAGAAATTGTGCCTTAAAAAATTCTTGGAGCTCTCAAAAGAACTTGTATGGATAAGTGAGATCACATTAATAAGCCTTCTGAGATAAGTAAACATACGCAAAGACCCTCACCAAAGGCTCTTAGAGCAAGCAGAAAAAAGTGCAAATTCTTCAAAGGAATTAAAAAATAAAAAAAGGCAGAAAAGAAACAGGATAAATTTAAAAAAAAAAAAAAAATCTGTTTTCACAGCAGAGGGAAGTTACCAGACAAGTCCCAGTGCTTTGTCCTAGAGACTACATAGTTCAGCACATTCATAACTGAGCTGTAAAAAGGGTGAAAGAGATGTGATAAAGTTAGCTGATGACAAAACACAAGTCACGTTAGAAAAGTTAGAGTACAATGCTGAAGAACATCAGAAGTTGATGGAATCAATAAAAGAAATTAAATGGCACATTAAAATTAGTGTAGATAAATTTAGCCAATGCAAACATGAAAAAACAATTTTAATTCCACATATAGGATGACTACTACTTAGGAAAGTGATACTGCAGAAAACAGCTCCATGAAAGACTCCAGTTTAGCATTCAGCAAGTAGTTTACAAAAGGATATTCAAAGATACACCCTGTCAGGAAAAAATTATCATTATATTACCACATAAACATGTGATGTGCCTGCCTTACTAAGCCTCTGCTTCTGGTGTTCTAACCGTTTTTATTAGATCTATGTAAAGATCTTCCATCTTATCCCACGACTGCTTGTTTTGTTCAGAAGCTTTAAGCAATACACATTGTTGAATAGTCTGTTTTACAGAGGCACAAGTGAAAGAGGTCTACTGAAGGACAAAGAACATTGCCAAAAGTATGGAGGAATGCTGAAGTAGGTTCCTCCAAGCTGCAGTCAAAAAATCTGCAGAAAGATACAAGTGGAGTGTATTGAACGGGGAATGACATGCAGAGTGTGAAGAGAAAACAGTGTCACTGCTGCCTTATACTAAAATACAAGAAAATAAGCAAAACAGGAGCCGAAACAACAAGTTTAAATTATACGGCACGTCACACAATTTACTCTCAGGGTCTAAATATCTTGCCACATCATTTTTTCTGCTGGGAACACATTCACATCTAAGTTTAGACTGGACAAGCTTATGAAGAGCATAAAACATGAAAATACCATTTCTTGGTTCAGTCTTTGAGGCTGAGGCCATCAAGGGCAGGAAAAGCATCTAAGAACAACAGCCATATGCCCTGCCACATTCTGAAAGCTCAGCTTTAGACAGTACTGCATTGTCTAAGTAAACTACTTCTTACAGAAATAACAAATAACTAGCATATTACACTACATCAAATTGCAAGGTGATTTATCCATTGCTGAATTTTTTTTCCTAAAATGTAGAAAGATGTACAACACTCAAGACATTCCTCTAAAAAGCACAGACTGCTTAGTTAACTCACATGCTTCTCCATGGCATAGATAATGCCCATTGCCCAGTGGTTAAGTTTGGATCTTGAGTAGTAAAATATCAAGTCTTACTTATGTAATTAAATTTCTATTGCTCTAGCCTAGCATACCTCTCTCTGAACACAAAACCTTCCAGATTCCTAGAAGCTAAAGGATCAGTAACAGCAAGCACAGAACAGCAGAAGTGCCCTCTCAGTGTGAATATAAACAACAGTGATTTCCTTTTAAAGACAGCAGA